CTGCCGGACGTGTCCGCATCGGATGACTTGCTCTGTATGACTCGGGTCTCGACGTCGACCTCGAACCATTCTCCAGAGGGTTAGGGTGCCGTCTTCATTCCGTCCGACTTGGCGTTTCCCCTCATCTTTTCAACTCCACCATGCGACGACACCCTTCCGCCCAGAATCCCGTCGCCTACGCCGATTCTCGAGCCACCCCAATATACCATTCCCCCAACGCCCTCGCTTCCCGGATCGGCGGCCTGTTGGACGCGCCGCCCCATTGTTTCCCACTCCTTCAGCTTCCCTCACAGGGGCGCTTCACCACCACCTCAGCCGCTGCGGCAATTTGGATATTCCGGGTAGGGCGTGCTGCCAAGATGGATGGCAACAAGGATCCACCCATCCATGGTCAAGTGCCGCAAAAAATGCCGATAAAACTCCCCAGTCCGTCGTCGGCGTCAATGGGGGGCCGTCCCCATAGGTAGCGTGGTCGGCCTCCCAACCATCGGCGCTCGCTGCATGACCGGCCTTGATTCCAGGACGGTCTCTATCTTCTCCTTCCCGACCCAGCTCAGCACCCACCAGCACCGCCCACGCCTACACCACTTCACCCTTATCTCGAGCCAGCACTGCCGCCGCCCAGTATGCCGTTCTTGTCGGATCCCCAGCCGCGCATCCTAATCGCGGGCGCCGGCATCGGTGGATTAAGCGCTGCCCTCGCCCTGCACGCCGCTGGTTTCACCGACATCCACGTGTTTGAGGCAAGCGCGACGTTGACAACGCTGGGTGTGGGCATCAACGTGCAGCCGTCGGCAGTGCTTATCCTGCGCAACCTTGGCTTGCTGCCGGCCCTGCGCGATGTAGCGGTCGAGACGAGCGAGCTCAACTTCTACTCGCGCCATGGCAACCCCATCCTCTCCGAGCCCCGCGGCGCCGGAGCAGGCTACGAGGTCCCCCAGTTCTCGGTCCACCGCGGCGAGTTCCAGATGCTGCTGCTGGACGCCGTCAAGACCCGCGTGGGTGCCGACCGCGTGCACCTCGAGCACGCCTTTGTGGGCTATGAGCAGGACGCAGGGTCCATCACGGCCAAGTTTGCCCGCCGAGGATCCGACGAGCCGGCCCTGATCCCATCCATGACTGGTGCCTTCCTCATTGCCGCCGACGGTATCAACAGCACGGCGCGGCGGTTGCTGTACCCGAAGGAGGGCCCACCGCGCTTCTCGGGCCGCATGCTGTGGCGTGGATGCATCGAGCGCGCCCCTTATCTCACGGGCGCCTCCATGGTGTGGGCCGGACACGCCAACCAAAAGTTCATCGCCTATCCCATCAGCGGACGGGCCGCCCGCCGCGGCACCTCGCTCGTCAACTGGATCGCTGAGCTCCGCGTGCGCGAGGAGAACGACCCCGACCTCACCCCTCCCCCGACCGACTGGACCAAGCGCGTTCCCAAGGAGCGCTTCGCCGGTCCGTTTGAACAATGGTCGTGCGGAGGCCTGCGAATGTCGGAGCTCATCGACAGCACGGAGAGTGTGTTTGAGTTTCCCATGTGCGACCGCGACCCGGTCGACCGGTGGTCCTTTGGCCGCCTGACGCTGCTTGGCGACGCCGCTCACGCCATGTACCCCATCGGCAGCAACGGCGCAACGCAGGCCATCATCGACGCCGAGGTTCTTGCGGCCCTGCTCGCCGAGCAGGCGAGCACCTGGCAGCAGCCAGGCGTGGTCGAGGCCGCGCTGACGGCGTACCAGGACGTGCGGCTCCCGGCGACGGCCAAGATCGTCATGGCCAACCGCGCCAACGGACCGGACCATGTGCTGGAGCTGGCGCACCAGCGCGCGCCTGACGGGTTTGAGAATGTCTATGATGTGATTCCCAAGGACGAGCTCGAGAGCATTGGCGCGGCGTACAAGGCAGTTGCTGGATTTGAAAAGGACGCGGTGAACCAAAAGGCGCGCGACACGGTGCATCTGGCGGAGCGGTTCGAGGCGTTTGAAGCGGCAAAATAAAGGGGCGGGGACGATATCCGGGCGACAGACAACATCATGAACGGGGCGTTGAGACGTGTATTTTATCTTGCGGCGATCGGGAGTGGTCAGCACATGGAAAGCGGCCGGAAGCCGCTGGTTGATGAGGGGAGTCTTGATCACGGGAGAATGGAATCGAACTTTGCACCGACTCGCCGCTCACTTGAAGCGTTCCATCGGCTCCCGCGACGCGGGTTGCACCGCCACCATCTCCGACCACGATAATTGGCACCCCCGCACCAGTACTGCATCCTTCCCCGACTCCTTTCTGCCACTCTTTTCTCCCCTGTCTCGCGTGTGACAACGGATAACTCCCACCGGAAGTTGTCTACGATTGACTCTCTACAATATCGCCCGACACTCTGTCAGATGTCTTTTCTCGATCGCCACCAAAAGTTCCAAGCGGATATAGACCTGTCTGGCTCGGCGTCTGAGCCGTTTGATCCTTACCCCGGCTTGCGCACCGTCAGAGAAAGCCCACGGAGAGGAGCAGATGAGGCCTCTGGGGTGCCAGAGCCCCCATCCCAGAGCATCCCCACTGATCCCTCGCATCGCTGCCAGCACTGCGACAGAGTCCAGATATCCGTAAGTGAGGACACCAAGGCCCACTACTCGCGGACGAGACGGAGATGGAGTTATACGCTCCCTCACACTATGAACGAGGTCTCTAGTGCCGCCTCCGACGGGTGCCCCTTCTTTGCTTGGGTCTTTTGCCAGATCAAAAGGTCATCGACGCCGAAGAAGCAGATCGACGACACCCAACTGCAACTCGACTTTGAAACCGGAGAGACCCCCAACCATCTTGTCGCGGAAAACACGCGCGCGGTTGAAGTTTTGGTGTCAACCAAGCACTACTCGTGGCCTGCGTCCCGGTTCAACGTCGTATCGCACTTCGGTACGCAATGTGCAAGCCTGCTGAATGGGAGACCTGACTGACATTCTGTTTCAGCCGACCCATCTTCACATCAAGCCATTGCTCGGTCCATAGTCGGCAATGTATCCGCCACGACCAGCCTCGATCAAGTCTCGAGGCGCCTCGACCATTGCCGCCGCCATCATCCTGGATGCAACTCGGAGCCGACACAGACGGAGGAGAGGAGCGGACAAAGGGCAGTCCCTCTCAGGTTCCTGAACGTGGATGCAGCCATCTCGCAGAGCGAGGTCACTCTGGTACGCGCCGATGCAACGAGCGCAGAGCCATATGTTACGCTCTCCTATGTCTGGGGGCATGATCAAGTTGTCAAAACGTGGGTTAGCCATTCGCGTCATATTCCGGATTTGAATGTGGTCCAAATTAACGTTTTGGGGCAGCACTCTCGGCACCATGTCTCAACATGGATCCGGAATTCCCATCATCACGCTTCCAAAGACAATTCAAGATGCCATTGTCGTCACGCGCCATATTGGCATGACGCTCTTGTGGGTCGACAGCCTTTGCATCACGCAAGATGCCCCCGAGGAACTGGACATGGAGATTGCCAACATGGCGGCCTACTACAAGAACTCCCAGCTTACAATCGTGGCGGGAGCATCTCCAAGTTGCTCGCATGGGTTCCTTGTGCCGAGCAGCAATCCCCAGGGCCCAGAGGGATTTGAGCTTCCGTTTTCATCTGGCAACACCACAGAGTCTGGCCGCATCAGATTCTCGCCCCTAGGTGGCCCTTCAGAGGAGGTGATCGATACCAGGGCCTGGACCTTGCAGGAGGGCCTGCTGTCGACGAGAATCGCCTCGTTCGGCAAGGACCTCGTCTCTTGGTCTTGTCTCTCGGACGAATACGGCGATATGCAAATGGCCGACCTGCGAAAGGCTCTCCGCGACGCCAAGGCTGCGGCCAAGATAACCATCCGCGATTGGAAGACCATCCAGGACCGCCAGGACCTTCAGTCCTTCTGGGCCTATCTCGGTTCGCACTTCCAGAATGCGTGGCACGAGATTGTCTGTCGATATTGCGACCGGCATCTTTCGGAGGACGCCGACGGACTGGTCGCCATCTCGGGCATCGCTCATGAGTTTTCTTCTTCCCTCTGGCCAGATGCAGAGCTGCCCGGCCCCAGCGAGAAGGGGAACAGACCAAAGTACATTGCAGGGCTCTGGGACTCTGCCCTTCTCCCTCTGCAACTCTTGTGGCAGCCCCGTTCTTCGATCCCGGACCCGCCCTCGAAGGCCTACGTGGCACCTTCATGGTCCTGGGCATCCGCCCGAGCACCGCTACGCCGGGACCAGGACACGTACAAGATATGGCTCACCAAGGCCCAAGTTACTGACTTTAAAGTCCTGCGCCATGATATCTCCCTACGGAACGAACAGGCGCCTTTTGGTGCGCTGACATCTGGGAGCTTGCTTGTGCAGGGCCTGACGTGGACTGTCAATTCCAAGGTCGGTATCAGATATGTCGGCCATGCAGGAATCTCGATCACATTGGACACGGATGTTGACGAGTCGGCAATGGTTCGTGACGAGCCGGCAATGGTTCGGTGGCGCCGAACCACCAGATTCGCCAGCTCTCTGCCCGTATTTCTTCCTTCGCGGTATACGAAGCAAGTTGTGTTGTTGGAAATCGTTTCATCCCAGCTAAAACTCTCTGCCAAGGAGGACGACGATTCCATGGACTATCCAAGGGGATTGGTTCTCGCGGCGACAGAGGATGGAAAGCATCGGCGGATTGGACTGTGCTATTACAGGGGTGACGTAGCGGGCAGACCGAGGGAGAATGACAAAGACGTATGGAAGATGCAAGAACTAACGTTGGTTTAAGGGGCAGGTATGGACAAGGGAATCACAGCTTACCTACATTTCTACTTGCAATGCCGAGGGAGCAGCTGGCATGCAAATTGATCGAACTTGAACCTCCCGGGACTCCAAGCAATGGTTCTCTTGACTTTAGGAGTTGACTCTTTGAGATGTTACGGGGTTTCGCCAGACTGAATCATCCCTCGTCAGCCAGCGAGTCCGAGTCATGAGGCACATTTGGAAACGCATTCCCATCAATCACAGGCACTTTGGCGGAGTGGTTAACGCGCTGCCCTGCTATCAGCTGATCAGGCAGTTCCTTCGGGAGCGCAGGTTCGAATCCTGCAGGTGTCGAACGACTTTATATTTTTGCCACTTTTCCTTTTGCTTCCCCTGACTTGACTAACCACCCTCACTTCCATCGACCATGACATCACAGCGACCCAACTCGACATCTCCCCAAACACTTTCCATTCCACCACCCTTCTACCACCTAGTTACAAATCACCTCCCCACCACCCCCTCCCACGTCTCCCTCACCACCCGCCAGTACCTCCCCTCCCCCTCCCCCCTTGCATGCAGCACGTGCGCCGTCCCCTCGAACCTCTCCATCCGGACCTCAAACCCCCGTTGCCGCGCAACCGCCGCATGTCGCTCAACACACCTATAATCCACCAGCGCGTCCTCCTCGCTGTACACATACGTCTGTCGCACCTCCCCGGAATTCCCCCCGTCCCGCACGTTGTGCGCGTCCCCCCACACGCGAAGCCACTCGACCATCAGCCCGGACCGGACGCCGGCGACGAGCACGGCCGCGAGGAGGTACGCGACGGGGACGTACAGCGTGCGGAGGATCCCGGATCTTGGCGCGAACGCCATGAAGAACTGCGCGGACGTGCCGAGGGCGATCTCGGAGGGGGCGGAGTCGATTAGGGTTGTGTGCGGGGGGAGGCGGGCCGGGGAGAGGGCGGTGTACAGGGAGGCGAGGGAGGAGGAGCCGCCGTTGGAGAGGAGGTGGATGTGTAGTTCGGGTTGGCCTGGGGTGCGGGGGGTGTCCGGGGGGAAGAGGGCGTGGATGATGGGCACGGCGGGGGAGACGGCGGCGGGGAGGGTGGCCGGTGACAGGGTGAGTAGCCGCGGGGGGGACTTGAGGAGGAGGATGGGGGTCGTGGGGTAGAGGGTGAGGTAACGGGTGAGGTATTTGGCAATGTGGGCGTCTTGGGCTCCTGTCCAGGAAGCAAACAGTATGAGTTTTGGCGGCGGGATGGCGGGGGTCGGGGTGGGGGTTGGGGGCGGTGGCGGGCGGTAGAAGGAGACGATGGGGGAGAGGGTCTCCATGAAGGCGAGGGGTTTGGGGGTGTTGGCGGGGGCGGACATTGCTGTGGTGTCGTTGGTGTCGATGGCGATGGGGGTGGTGGTGAGAGGGGGTTGGTGTTGGGGAGATGGGGGACTCGGGGTCGTGGTTGATTTAAAGTCGGTGGTGGTTGTGCAGGCACCCATGTCAGCGCTAAATTTGCCCGAGATCGTGCCTGCCTTGGCAGGTTGTTTCAGACAAGTTTTCTTTCGGGCGAATTGTTCTCGAATATGTCTTCCAGTACAACTTGCGGCCTGTCCATCTCTGGGTCGTTCTTTTCACCGGGACTCTCATGCCTGGAAAAAGAGAGATTTTTGTGAAATTCCCACAAGAACATCTGTCACCGTCACCTCGGGTAGGATTCCGCATCGGATTTGGCGATGTTGATGATGCGAGATGCCAAGACCCCCGGGTTTTTGAGCCGAGGTCCGATATCAGCTCCGTCCTCCCGGACTCGACGGTCTCGGCGCAACACAACCCCGACCACGGACTCGGTACGACATAATCTGCCGCTCCGTATCTGCCATGCATTTCCGAAATCCTAACCAAAACAATGTTTTCCTTTGCTAAATTTACAATGCAATACCCGGTCGAATAACAGAGCAATACCTTTCTCCCACCTTTGTACGAATCAGGAAAGTCAAGGGGATGGACAGAGACATTCACGGAGTTTGACTTCCAAGTATCGCTCACTGGATCTGTCAAACGTAAATGGCAATATCCACATGCACCAACATCTCAATAGGTCCGCTGGCTCAATGGCAGAGCGTCTGACTACGAATCAGGAGGTTCCAGGTTCGACCCCTGGGTGGATCGATGCGAATGATATATGGAAGAGATTCCATTCTTTTTGAAGTTTCTTTTTGGTGTTGTGGGGGCTGGTTATCAGGGATTCCTTGTCACGCTGGTGTGGGTCTCAAATTCTCTACTTGTGACATTTGTCTTCGTTGTCCAGTAGGTGCGCTCCTTAACATAAGCCAACTCTCGTCTCCATGTTTCTGGTCAAGAAGGCGAGCTCCAGTCGTGTTTAGTGTGACACTTCTCTGCTCTCGGCCCTCCTTTTTTTGGTATCTTTCCCTTCCAAGTTGTCATTCAATCGCCTGTGATGGTGTTTTGCCCTCTTTTATTCAACTCTACTAATGAAGACTACAATGCGTTTCATGTCAGCATGCTTCAAATTGCGTCATCTGGTCCCCCATCCAAGTTTGGGAGTTGCTTTAGTCATATGTGACCGGCTTGGACTTGTATTTGGACATTCGCCGCTGGATAGAGGCCTTGGAGATGGAACTGGAAACCTGTATATTTGGCAACCAAGCCCTGCATCCCTCTATTCGTTCAACTGGGCATGGTCAATGTGAACTGGTTCTCTTTCTTTAAGTCCATCGAGTTCAGCCAACGCTTGGCATTGCCCCCTCAATCAACAACCCACTGACATCCCCAACAGCCAACACCAGACTCTTGGCCGCCCTTTGGAGAGCGGGTTGCATCCTCCCACGAGTATCTTGTCTAAAAGTCCTCCAACTTGATAACATGGTACGCAGGTTCCTCGTATGGATGGGCTCTGTGCACCCGGGTGTCAGTAATCGCCACAGAGACACTAGAACCAGACTCACTTCTTCAGCGCCTCGACAGCCGCCCGGGCAACATCCTCGTTCTGACACAGAGTCTCGACACGGACCTCGGGTGTCTCCTCGAGATCACCGACCGTTCCTATGTGCGGTTTGGCAGAGTCACCTGGGCGAAACTTGTACCATCAGCCACTGCTTGACACATCGCATGCCAACAGGTCAGGTTACCTGGCCGGTCCCGTTGGTCGAAAAGGCACACTCGGTGTAGTTGCCCGGGCCAGGATAGCGACCCGCCCCGGACTTGAAGACGGCCGCTTTGCAGGCCTGTAACGCGGAAGGCGGAGCGTAGAAGACCAGCGTGTAGCGGGTGGCTGCCATGTTTTCTGAATAGTCGGGTGGAAATATGCGAAGATAAGAATCAAATACGAGCAGGGCGAATGCAAGGCCGAGTACAAGACGAACGAGGTCGTAATTGGTGATTACGGGGATGTCGAGATCGTACATGGTGATGCCACGAATTGCATTCCAGGACGGATGAAAGGTACTTCGAGGGTACCCCTCGCATTTCGTCCGTTTGTTTGCTACTTATCTAAAGGTACCCCGCTCTCCACAATAGCTCAAGACGCCCCGCATGTTGGAAGCATTGGGCAAGTCCATGGGTCCTGACGTTTGTTTTTCATCAGGTACGGATTACCTCGATTGGAAACGCATCTGTACCTGCTGAGATCACCTTCGCCCGGCACTCGCCCGAGGTGGCGGGGCAGGTATCGTCGACCCACCCCGACACCGCAGCGCCTTCGTTGCGCCATCGTCGGCATATATTTCCCCGCGAATAGGCGTTGCCGTCGTCATCGACATGCCGCCATCGACCCCGCCATCCCTCGTGCTTAAACCCACGTTTCCCAACTCCAAACAAAAGCCCAGAGACAACATCAGAAACAACCACCCCCCCAGCCTCGACGGGAACCTCCAAAATGAAGCTCCTCTACCCCACCTCCCTCCACCTCGACCCCTCCCTCATCACCGGCTTCCCGACCCTCACCCTGTATCCCTACGACGCGCGGGCGCCCATCCCCGCCGACCACCTCGACGCCACCATCCTCGTCACCTGGGCCAACTCCCCCGCCAACCTCCAGCACGCCGCCGCCTCGTTGCCCAACCTCCGGTGGATCCAATCCCTCGCCGCCGGCCCCAACGACGTCCTGTCCGCCGGCTTCGACCCCGCCAAGATCACCATCACCACCGGCTCCGGCCTGCACGACCGCACCGTCGCCGAGCACGCCCTCGCCCTCCTCCTCGCCTCGGCCCGCAAGCTCCACGAGATGCGCGACTACCAATCGCGCGGCGAGTGGCCCGGCCACCTGGGCGGGCCGCAGCCGGATCGACCGGCGGGGGCCTTCACGACGCTGCGGGACGCGCGCGTGCTGATATGGGGATTCGGGAACATTGCCAAGACGCTGGCGCCGTACCTGACGGCGCTCGGGGCGACTGTCAAGGGGGTGGCGCGCAGCGCCGGGGTGCGGGGCGGGGTCGAGGTGTTTGCCGAGGACAGGCTGCCGGAGCTGCTGGCGGAGACGGACGCGCTGGTGATGATATTGCCCGGGGACGAGTCGACGAGGCACGCGCTGGGGAGGGAGAGGTTGGGGATGCTGCCGCCTCACGCTTGGCTGGTTAATGTTGGGCGCGGCTCGTCGGTGGATGAGGAGGCGCTGGTGGAGGCGCTGGAGGGGGGCAGGTTGGGCGGCGCGGCGCTGGATGTGTTTGAGACGGAGCCGCTGCCGAGGGAGAGTCGGCTGTGGGGGCAGAAGAATGTCATAGTCAGCCCTCACGCTGCGGGTGGTAGACCACAAGGGGGAGAGGCGCTGGTGGTGGACAACTTGAGGAGGTTCTTTGCGGGGCAGACGTTGAAGAATGTCATTTAGGGGGGGGTCCGGGGAGTGATAGAATCCAATACTGGTATGTTTGTTAGCGCGAGACATGCGGATACTAGCTAAGGCCAGAAACCGTTCAATAAAGGCCTTGGTAATGGAACTGGATACCTATATGTTTGCAGACCAGGCCCTGAAGTCGGAACTGGAGGCGTCCGCTCATGCCATGTAGGCATCGCCTCCTTGGCAAGAGGTCTCGCGCTAACAAACAAACCAGGGCTGGAGTGTAGACATGAGCCGGGCATTGATACACTGGAGAAAAAGCATGTTGATACGGATACACGTCGAGTCATTATTGTCATTTAAATGTCTTCATGGTTGAACGAGTCGAGATGGGTATCGATAATGTCCCCTGGGTATTGACCCTCCTCCTCCGCAACGCAAACAGGGCAGCCTGATTAAGAACTCCCTCCCAAAACTCCTCAACGCATCGAAACCAAATCCTCGCGGATGGGCCTCTGCAAACCACTCGTAAATCATAAACATCCCCCTCTGGGCTGATCG